CTAAAAAAAAAAAAAAAAAAGAAAGGCAGCCTCTTGGTTTAGACCGTGCCAGTCATGAAGTGAAGAGGATGTCACAGCCGTGGGGTGGAGACCCAAAATACACAGTGCGAGGGCCACTGCCTGTCTCCAGCTTCCCTTCCCTGTGCCCAACTTGTTCTTTCTCTAGACCTCAAGTTCCCTTTTTCTTAGCACCCGCAGCCAGATCCGTTCCCTTTCCTTCCGGGCTGCCCCCTTCACCTTGCTGTGCCCCCTTCACCTTGCTGTGGGCGCGTTCTCCAGCCCAAACGGTGATCCTGTGCTGGCTGCCTGCAGCTCAGCCCTCGGCCTGCCGGGGCAGGGGCAGGGCTCAGGTCCCCAGGCCCAGCGGACAGCAACCTGCTCTGAACCCCAACCTCTCAAAGGTCCCTTGGGCCTGGGTTCCCCCGGAGAGGGGAATGGAGAGTTGTGGGAGACTGATCTGGAGCCCCTGGGTTCCCCTTGGAGAGGGATGACGGTTTGGAAACTACAGCTGTACTGCAGGGCAGACAACACACCTCCCTCCAGGAGGAACAGGAGGAAAGCGAGGCGTGGGTGCTGGAGCCTGCCAGGAACAGTGGAGTCTGGGAGCAGCCTGCCTCTGAGCCGCTCGATCTGTTCTGTTCCTGAGGAGCGAGCGTGGGCCGCACCGCGGAGCCACCTATTCTATTTCTGCCACCGCGTGGGAACAGCTGCCTGCGGGACTGCGCCCCTCACCCTTCCAGTCTGCCTGCCGGCAAAAGCCAGCGGCCCCTCGTGTCCACGGGTCTGTGGCCCTGGTCGCCCCCCCACACCCCGACACACACACACACAGCTGCTCCCCGCAGCACCCATCACCGCCTCTTTGTCCCAAATCCGTGTGCAGGTGGAGTCGAGAGGCAAGTCGCCCCAGAACTGCAGGCCTCAGCGCCCCACCTTAAATGAGAATCCCTCACAAAGACGAAATCCCGCAGGGGCAGGGGGTGTGTATCGCACAGAATCCGCCACAGTAACGCTGAGACGGGCCTCGGGAGGGTATAGGCAGCGGCTTCCTCGGCCCCTGGTCGACAGGGTGGCAGAGGCGCGGAGGGGCGAGCGCCCCACTGGCTCCGCAGCGCGCAGGCGGCCCCGGTCCCTCCCTGTGGCCCCTGCCGGGCTTCGCAGCCTCGACCGGCTGGCAGTTTAGGCGGGCCGCGTGCCCGCCGCGCTGGCGGCCCCC